GCACAGTTATCAGTCATGCGCTGCTTGATCGCCTGCTCCACAGGCACCAACTCCTGAACACGGCCAACCCACTTCCTGAGCTGCTCGGTCCTGGTGGCCCCGATCTCGGCAGGGCTTTTGCTTGTTAAAATGTCAAGTGTCGTCTGCAGCTCAGGAGGAAGACCGGTGAACAAGTGTTTGGGATGTTTGGCGGCTAGAGCTCGGGAGATAAATTCATCTGGGGTCCAAGGAATGCCTACTACAACCCTATGCCAAGAAGACTCCTCGGGCCCTGCCGGTGAGGAGCTACGGTTGGTTTGGGGAGCAGTTTCCAAGGGCATCTTAAATCCTAGGGACACTAGGTTCTCGCATAGGTTTGCCGGTATAAGCTCAGGCCCCTTGACCACGAAACCCACAAGCACCACTCTGGGTCCTTGGGACCAAGGGTAGGTGCAATGCTTCAAGTGCGAATCAAACCGAATGACGTTGCCCTCAAAAGGAATCTTCAATCCTTTAAGATGCTGAAATTCAAGGTCCGGACAAGGATCGGTACCGTGGTCGGAACACACCCACAGCTCCCCACCCTTGAAATCAGAAACCTTGGCCACCGTGTTCAAATATGGCAGGGAGTTGTTGGGGTCAATGTGCATCCTGGTTTGGATGTTTTTCAAGAGCGCAAGGCTGGTGAAGACAGCATCTGGGCACTGCTGATGAAGAAACCTAGTGAACACCTGTGTCGTCAAAGGAAAGCTGACAGAGAGCTTCCTAAGGCCATAGGCGCCCCCGTGAACGAAAGCACCGACCGTGAATGAAAATTCTCCGTCATTCTCACGACCCCTAGCCGGCTTCTCCGACTCTAAAAGTTTCGTGAACTGAACAACATCCTCAGGTTTGATAAAGGACTGGCTCAGGCACTTCTTGGCAAAAGATTCAGCTGGGTGCAAAGCTGAGTCCTCAAGGGCTCGAGATGACTCTGGATTTTGAACAGGGCCCTCAGGGACTTGCGGTGGCTCCGGATTTGGAGCAGGCTCTTTCACCCCAAGCATCTGCCTGCGAAGAATTCGCGAGCCAGGTGGAAGGGCACGGACATCACCATCGGTCCTAGCATTGGCTGGAATGGCCACAGAGGATTCCAGCTTTTTGAGGTCGCCTGGCAAGAAAGGCTGTGGGGTATCAATGGTTAGGACACAGCGAAATTCACTGACCATCGGCGGTATTTTCTTGCGTGTCGGTTGGGAATCCGAAGCGACCTGAGCACTACGATGAAGCGGGTTCGATGCATGAGGCAAAGACTGGGCACGGGGAACCGCGCCCAACTGAATAAGCTGATCAACGATGGCATGAGCCCAAGCACGACTGAGATCAAGCGTGTACGTAGAGTCGTGCAGCTTAGACTCATGTTTATGTCCAGGCCCCACACCACAGCAACGAACACCAAGTTGCATCAATGAAGGCACAGAGTGAACGATGCGAGTAAGGCGAGGGCTCAAGGAGCCCCACATGCACATGTGAAACATCGTCTCAATGGAATGAATGCACAGAGTATGTTTACCCCAGTGCGAAGTGCGCCACAGAAATGAGTGGCCAGGATTTTCACAAGAGAATAAAATACCCCTCGACCAGCACATGCCAAAGAGTTTCCCGCAAAGCTCGTACAAGGAATTCCGCGAGGCCTCAAAAATTGCAGATGTCTGGTTCATGTTTGGGCACCCGTCCGGGTGCTCAAGGCTGCGATTTTGCCGCCCTGGGATTGGCGGCGAAACATGCAAATAAGCACAATGAGGATTGTCAAGCAGTTGAATCAAAAGTTCACATGCCTGCTCATCACAAAGGTCAAGGCGAAGCACTGGTGCAATCAAGCATCGGCCAACACTCTTATCGACGCCAATACTATCACAAAGCCCCAGGCGTCGAAGTTCACTAGTTAAACGACCCGACCCAGCGAAAACCTCCACGCCGAAAAGCGACTCAATCGAAACTCCTGCCACACGGGCCTTCGCCCGATCAAGGAAAACCTGCAGGTCCTCAACCAAGTCACACCCGGCATTCGTGAAGGTTCATGCCCCAGCTTGCCTAGTGTGGTTGACAAGTGAATGAGGTTTCTGGCAATTCGGTTCTGCACACAAGTGAACCCCGCGCGGGCATCGACCACCCGCTGGAGCAGCGGTGCAGCCCTCCTCGGTGTTGAAAGCCCAACAGATCGGAACCCCGCGCTTTGTGCGTGACCACTTATCCTTGAGGGAAAGGGGCATAGACTTAGGGATGGTTTTATTCTTAGTCTTGCCCTTGCCCAAACCCTTCCACTGCTTCCGAGGGGTCTTAGGATCGGGCACCGGTGTATCTTCATGTGGTCGCTTGCCGCCACTAGAACTAGCAGAAGAACCCAAAGGCAAAAGGTGAAAAGCCACTTTAGGATCCCCCTGAAGCAACGGCAACTCGAGGTCAAGTGGAAGCTTGCCATCGGTTCCAGCTCGAAGGCCTTTGGGGAGCTTCTCCGCCAGGCGAAGCCATGCTGCACGATCTGCAGACAAAACCTGATGTATGGTGACGTGATTGTAACCCGGCGGTGGTTCCACTGTGAGGTGCGACATCAAATACTCATGGAACTCCATGATCACATGATAACTGCAAATCCCTACGAGGTCCATCGCTAGGGCTCGCCGATGAAGAGAATGATGGAGGCACAGCGGAGTACTCAGCTGGCACTGAAGATCGACAACCTGATCCTTCAAGGTGATCTTCGAGTTCACGACATCCAATTCCTTTTTGGGTTTGTCAAGCCTCAATTCAGCCTGCCGAGATGGGAAACGAGCTGGCGAAAGATAAGAAATGGTGTTTTCTTGGACCATGCGCATCACTAAGTCATATGAACCATAGGAACACTCAGTCTCGTTTCGAAGAGCAACGCCGCTAAGACGCTCGGCTTGTCGTTTTAATCCTCTCGGTCCTCTCGGCCGATGCTAACTCGGCCTTCTGATCGTCGGATCGCTGCTCGATGAGCTGCTTGACCTGTGCAGTCATGAGCAACTGAGCCTCGAAGACGAGGCGCCTCAGCGATGCCAATGTCGCAATCGGAACTTCTTCATCCCCTGCACGCGCCAGCGAGGTTAGAGCAGCATCGGTGGGCGTCTCGCCCGGCTGTCCCGCTGCAAATGCCAGGCTAGCCAAGGTATTCAAATTCTTGCAGACAAGCACATCCCTGGTGGCACCAGGTAGCCCCGCCAACTCACAATGTTCTGTGAAAACAGCTTTGGACTCAGTCAGAGGCACCGCCATGTCTGCTAAGGACCTAAGTCTCCACTGGCCTGTGCCAAATGAAAAATTGAGATGACCTGCATGTCAAACGTGCAATCACGACCTTGACACACTGTCTATTGATTGTAGTCAGCAAATTGCGATCCCAACCTTTGCATCACTCCAATGCATTCTGCAGTACAGATCCCTCGGCATTTTGAACACGGGACTCGTGCATGGCATGTTTCATCTTCGCAATGTTGCTGGTGGTTGCACCCGCCATCAGGCGAAGTGCAGGCCCGTGGCCACCACTCTCGCATCACCTTTCCAGCAGAATCCTCCTTTTACAAAATGTGCATGCGAGTGCAGGCAGCACTTTCGGCTGCGATGCAGGCCCATAGCCCTCGCCCCGAGGATCCACGCAATGACCCTGGTCCCAGGATTCGCCGGTGATGCTGAACAAAATCTGCAGGACATCACGCTGATGCTTCCGGTCCTGCGCTCTTTCTCTTGACACTGGCGGCCCTATCAAGAAAATTCAAGACCGCCTTAGTGTCCCTCAAAGGTCGTGCCTGCTCACACTGCTTGCAAATCCAATGCTTGCTGAAGACCTTTCCGGAAAAAAGATTCATGCCCTCGGTCTTACGACCACACATCAAGGGCCCCTGCGAACCTTTAGCCCGCGTATGCAACGATCTGGTCTTTGGGTTCTGGAAAACATCCAAGTCCACTTCAACACCCAGAGGTGGGATGACTTTATCCAGAACCCTCCCTTCCGAAAAACTCTCATACGCATCAACAGCTTCATCAGAGGACCCCGAAGAACTCGTGGTGCTTGAACCCGACTCACTTGAAGCCGCCTGGAGCTCACCACCGTCATCGCAACCCTCGAAGGCATCTAAGTCTGATTGCTTTCTCTCGTCCTCACCAAGTGTGCCGAGCTCCATAGGTGTCTCAGCCGGGACCGCTGCGATGAACTGCTTAGCCGCATCCTCGAGAGCATCACTACCACTGGCAACTTGCTCAGACTGCTCCACAGACCTGAACATGCCGCTACGGGTAGAGTCTGGATGGAAAACTTGCCGCTTGATGAGCCCAATGCATTCCTGTAGCTCTCTTAACGGACGGGCCTGCACGTCTCGCCCATACGTGTAAAGAGACTTCTTCTTACCGCGAGAGTGATGCCCCAATATAAGACAAGTTTTATCAGAAAATCCTGCTTTAGTGAGCCACGAGAGAGTGGTGGCCTTCAAGCCATGTGATGTTAGTCCCTCCTTGAAGGAATCACCCAATGCACGCAACAGCAGCCCTCGCAACCAGTCGGTTNNTTGTCAGCAGTAAGCTTGGGAAGTAGAGGTCCACGGTGTCCTCCTCGTAGGTCTAGTCCCACTTGCTTCGCAACATCAAGGAACTGCAAGCCCCAGGAGTGATCCCGAAGCCCTCGAACGGGAGCGATAAGCAAAAGACTCTGACCCAGACCCCTACCCTTCTTAGCATTCTTATGGTCCATGGTTTTCACTTCCAAGTATCCATCATTACCCTCGAGGTCAACATCGAATCGCTGTATGTTCCTGATATCAGAAACTCTCGCCCGGCTGTAAATCTGAAATAGGAAAACTCCAGCACCGTACCTGTCAACAGGGTCCAACGACTCGTCTCCCAACAAGTCTTCAAGGGCCAGGACTTCGGACACTGTCAGCACGCGNNTGAATACCAACAACATGTATCAAGAAGTTGATGGTCTCACCACATTGAGCCTTTCCACTGTAAGTCTCAAGAGTTCGCATGAACTCAAGCACCAGATCTAGCTTAAGAGGGAAGAATGTGTAACTCCTCTCAGCTGCCCAAGTAAGCATTCTGGCCACGAAACGAACCCTCTTGAGCAATGTACTCGTGCTCTTTCCTTCAAGAGCTTCTGAGATCAACTGAAGGGGTTCGCCGGACCCTTCCGAAATAATTTCACCAAGCTGGGAACCAGCCAAGTTGTGACCCAAGACGCACAGCCACCGTCGATAAACAGCTTCCCTGTCAGTGTTAGACCGTCCACCAGCCGCAACAGATGACTTCTTGATGCACTGCTTAAAGACGGCCCTGTCGAATTTCTGCAAAGGGTCGGATGAATGCTTCAACACCTTCTCGCGACTATCCCCTGGCCTAGTGACATCGCCGGCAGGTAAAACTGCAGGAACAGGTAAAGAAGGCATCTTCGGAAGCTCACTCCCACTGAAGATTTCAGCATAAATGCCCTTTTCCCAGGGGAGTCGCAATGCAGACTGTCCTCTAAGCTGCATGCTTGCCTCAGCCAGAGCTCTTTCATACACACGACTGAGGTCCTGTTGATCCCCGTCGACACGGGGTTTCTTCGAGCTGCCCGAGTCGGCCATGGCTCTCTCAGGAGGACGACTCCGGACACCGCAAACACCCCTAGCAACAAAACACAATCACAGCCATGCGGCTATGTAAGTTGCAAGTTGCTAAGGTTTCCCACCGCCCACCTCAGCCATATGGCTTCGTGGGAAACAAAGAGTGTGTATGAACAAAAGGACATGCCGGAAAATTTTCAACAAAATTTTCCGAAAATGATTTTGGGAAAGAATAAGGACTTATCAATCACGATTGAAAGTTGTCTTCTCTTTAGCCGGGGAAAATGCTGG